TTTTTGCACATGCTGTATGTACATTAAGAGTACAAAAACAGTTAAAATGTTTAAACTTGATTTTACTGTAAGGTTTTGAGTGATTTAGCTTTGAAGAAGTACTGTAGTTTAACTATTTCATTACAATAATCCAACAACCACTATTTCAATCCTTACAGGCAGACGTCAAACAAAGCCAGGCAGGAGCTGTGCTTGTGGCTGCACGGTCTGTACAGGAATCACGATCCGTACCAGAAGCTCATTTGCGCATGTGCTAAGTGATCGTTTTCTGGAATGCAGTCGATTTATGAAAAAATACTGAAAATGATTATTTCCATACTTAATTAAAAAGGTGTGTTAAATAATGTTTAGRAAACAGTTCTGATATTTTATACATTTTGATTGATAAAATATATATTTACGAAGTGTACGTATTTATTTCTAATTACTTGCAGACTGTTTTCTAAACAATCGTGTTATAATTCATCTTAACTTCATTTTATTTAGTTCCTGGATTAAAAATCCACAGCTGTTGCAAACGTTCCTTTTTCAATGAAACATTGCAGGTGATAAAAGACTGAAATCTAATCAATTCGGTCATCAGTCTTGCTAAATGCTATGTGCAAATTTTTTTGGCGCATCCGCAAATGAGCTTCTAAAGCTCAGTGATGACGTCAGAAATAGGAGGGGGTTTATTGTTTGGTCTGAATCAGCGATCACAACTTAAATAGTTCAAAGCAACAATACTCAAAATAAAAGTAAATAAATCCATTAATACATGTTAATACATGTTAATACATATTAATAAATACATTTTTGTACTTACAGCAAGTGAGTTAGTACATCAAACAGTTTGTTTTAGAGCTACTTAACTCAGTTTCTAAAAGTTACTCTAACTATTTAGCTAAATTGAGTACAAATAACTTACTTATTTTAGTGAGAAACACTGTTGGGTTTTACAGTGAATCCCTCCCACATTCTCATACTGCATCAGAATGATGAGAGAAACATTTAAATGTCTATGTCTTATCATGATCTCCGTGTTCCTGCTTAAACAAACAGAAATTATCTACCGATAATCTTAGTGTTTCAATTAGCCAACCTGAAGTCATATATAACTTGTTTTGGTCTCCAGTTTTAATTAAATACATTTTGCATGTCAGCTATTCTTTAAACTTAGTGTATATTGTTACATTACATGAGTAAATGAACCATAAAACACAAAGACTCTCTCATAAGACTTCTGGTTGTGTTGAGTTGTTGTTTTTCTGCATCCACCACTTCCGTCAGATTTGGAAAGACGTCACGCTGCACCCGTCAGCTTTGACTCCGGAAAAATACGTTGTGACGTTCTTTAGATTAACAAAGATCTTCCACCATGTTGCCTGATTTAACAAACCCATTTGGACAGGGAAGACCTGTTTCAGCACATCTATTCTCTATGGTTTGTTTAAATCTGAAGCTGAATCAGAATACTTTATTAATCCCTGATGGAAATTACAGGTATTACAGCTGCAACTGTTCAGATCGAGAAATGTGAAAGGAAAGAAATAATCACACTAGAGAATAAAATAAGTATAAATATCCAGGATTACAAAATAAGCACACTTATGTACACTTAAACAATGTACAATAAAAATAATATAAATATTAAGAAAATGTGTGCAGAGATGATGTTTGGTATATTGCATGTTTGATATAAATGATGTTTGGTCTAAAAGGTGCAGTGTTATCCCTAAGAATTGTTCCAAGACAAAAAGTTGATGTTTAATACCTTCACTCCCCTCATGACCAGGCATACTTGCTCCTCCGTCCCACAGAAACATGAACGAAAGGTCTTTGTTGTTTTCTTGTGTCACGCTGACACCAATCCGTTTAAATCCAAAATCTCTGTTTGGCTCTGCGGATTTCAGCTGCAAAGTTTCCAGCCACAAATGATCTTGATATTGACATGTGAAAAGCTCAAAGAGGTCCACCGAAGGTCAGCTCAGGGGTTGAAAGCCTTGATTTTTAAGGCTAACTGTGTTTTTTTTCCCTCCTAACAAGTGAATCTTTTGTTTCCCGGTCTAGACAAATCCCACCATGTGAGCCCACTGCGGATGACATGCTCTATCATATCTCCATCACTGCGATATCTGTGAGTCTGTAAACCTGTCAGCTTCATCCCACACAGCATTACATCTGTACTACCACATCTTATAAAATCACTTTCCATTTTCATACTTTTTTTTTCTAAATCAGTAAACTGTGCTCCCAGAGTGTCTCATTGTCTTCATCAATAACAGTTTTACATTTTGTTTCATCTTTTTATTCAATAAAAAATAGTACATTTTGACCTAAATTAAAAACAACTAACGCTTACATGCTGATGTTTCTTAACTTTTCTTTTCTGCTCTGATTAGAGAGGTGCTTAATTGCGGGTCCACAGTTTTTCCTCCCAGCCCTGCATTTCTTGAACGTGTCACAGGTCACAGCAGGTCAGTGACCCCCTCACTGGTCGGTGGGCCCAACTTAACGACAGTTTATTCAGCCCAYATCCACGGGGAGCAGCAACCAGGCTGGGGTTCATCCTTTTGTGTTGTAACATTTCCTTCGTGTGAAACAGTTTGAGGCCTGAACTCTGTGGATCCTCAGCAGCCCGGCGCTCTGCGGGTGAAACTAACCGAGATGTTTTCTTTTCTTCTTCTAGCTGGTCATCATGCTGATTCTTGCGATATTGGCCAGACGCACAAAGACAGGCGAAAAACAGAAAGGCCTTCCAGGTTTACTCAGGTGAGGCTCTTTAGGGATATTTTACAGAAAATAATATGAAGTTTATCCATGTATACCTTTTTTAACGAGTTTGAAAAGCCACTGCATACTGACCATTTGGTAGAGGTGAAAACTCAACCTTAGATGCCTGCAGAGTTTGTTAGCTCAGTAGTCGCATCATAAATCAAGAGGAAGCGTTGATGTTAATATCATTTCAGTGGTTGTTGCTTCAAAAAACACTTTTACTAACACCTCAAAGTGTTACCTCCTCCCTGATTTAATCTTGGTCGCCAAGTCTGTAATAGTTCTGATATTTTAAAGTGAGGGTACTGTCGGAAGGTTGCGAAAGACTCATTTTGAGACTGGAGTTGTTTTAAGATGGCAAAAATCTGCTTTAGTTCCAGCTCCATCATTTCATTCAGAATTACACTCTGCTTTGACATACTAGCCGTGTTTCCATCCGATTTTAATTTTAATTTTGAGCAAGTTTTTTACAATTTCACAAAAAGGAAAAAATGAAGAAATGCAAATCAGACGTGTTYCCATCAACTGGCTTGAAGCRAATCAATTACGTCAGACGCATGTTCGGACTGCGGGAACAGCTGATCAACCATGTGAGGTAAATGTTCGCTACATCAGAACTTATTCGGCAAATGTGTTCCCATCTCTCTTTTTGAAATGAGCTCTTTTTTGAAAAAAGAAAACCACGAGCGTAGAAACTTATTTTGTGAATTAGAGGAAGTTTTTTTTAATCATGCTGTTTCCATTCACCTTTACTGATGTGATACTGCAAAATGTGCATTAAAAAACATTGATGGAAACATGGCTACTGAGCTTACTCAAAGATCTACAACAGGTAAGATGTTGTTTGTTTATAACCTTCCCACAGAACCCCACTTTCAAATCTTATCTGTTCTTTAAATAATACCATAAATAACATGCACTTTCACTTTTGTGACCAAAATAATTATGTTTGGCATTTATGACAGTTATTGCCTAAAGAACCTTTTCTTAATTATGATCATTTCAACTTAAATGTAAACTCAAGGGACAACCTGGAATGTTAAGTCTTAAAGATACACAATTCTAAGTTTCCATCACAGGTATCTCATCAAAATGTGAACGCTTCTGTTTGATTTTATTTTATTTATTTATTTATTTTCCCAGTCCGGTTAACTTCCTGGATCAGACACAGCACAAGGGCCTGGCAGTGGCTGTGTTTGGGGTGCTGCTGTGCAAACTGTGGGGTCTGCTCGTATCACCGAATCCCCTCCCGTTTACCACAGACTCAAAGAATAAACGTGAGCTCAGCCTCCACCTCTAACATCTCCTTTTAACACAGGCTGGGTGCAGTTTAAGCTCCACTTTACTTACAACGAAACAAAAGTTTACAGGATTGATTGCATAGTTTGTTACATGTGTGCACTGTATAACTGGATCATTGTTTTAGACTCGAGCTACAGCAGCTTTGTTACATAATTACATAAGAAACATGAAAGGAGTCAGTCATCTGTTACTTTACACAAGTAAAACAGAAACGTTTCACAAAGTTTGTGTTATTTAGTCAAGTTTCATCAAGATTTCCCAAGACAAAGTTGAAGATTAAAGAGAACCCTATTTTCCCCCACTTTACCTCTCGATCTTCACACACTTCTGCTGTGTTTGCAGAGCACTGGGTGATTCTGGGAGTCTTTTATTACCCCACTCTATACTACCCTCTCCTGGCATGTGGCACGTTACATAACAAAGTCGGCTACGTCCTTGGCAGCCTCCTGTCGTGGACACACTTTGGAGTTTTGGTGTGGCAAAAAATCGACTGTCCCAAAACTCCTCTGGTGAGTGAGAATCCAAATAAACAATGAGCTCCGGCTCAGAACGAATAAATAGGTAAAGTTGTTGTTTTTTTTATCTTTAACACTCAGACACTTTTTGTATGGTGTGTCCATTAGAGTATTAGGGATTATTTCAAACACAAAGCTGTAAACRATGCTGGTCTGTGGTCTACAAAAGAAACAACTGAAAAGCTGAATATTGAGCTTTCAAGATGGATACACAGACACACAGACACACATTTGGGAGCTTTAAATAGTACCCAGTTCTAAAGTTTTAGGGTTTTTTCCTCCTTCCTGAATGCCTAAAAGTCAAAACAGTTTGTTCCACTGTCTTTTAGTTTTAATTAGGCGACTTTGTCAGTAAACTCTTTAGTTTGAGCCAGTAAAACACACACACTACCTATTATGTAATCATTTTCTTTTATTCTTCAGAAGCCTGGGCTGTTTTGAGTTTAATCACATTCAGTATTTGACAGTCCACATCTTTATCCCGTTTTGCCCCTTCAGAAAAAGTTGCTAAGCGACTTAAATCTTCTTTTTTTTTCTTTTGCAGATACACAAATACTACTCTCTGTTTTCCAGCCTGCCTCAGATCGTTTGTTTGGCATTCCTCAGTTTCCAGTACCCCCTGCTTCTATTCAAAGGTTTCAAGAGCTCTGAAAGCACCAACGCCACCGAGGTAAGGTTCAGTCTGAGAGCACTCCCTCTGACAGGTCCAGCTTCTTCTGGCTGCGATTATTTAAAATAGACTGAAATGTTAAGTTCAGGCGTAAAGAAACGGCTCAGAAAAGTAGCCTACACGTTGGCTGGGAATCTGAGCACGTGACGGGCCTTTTTTTTTCTTTTCTTTTTTTTCATGCTGCCTGCTAATCATGGCTTACCATAGAAGGAGTAAGACCCACGCAGAGCACCGGTGGCTCAATCGTTTTAAGCAGATTTGACGTAACTGGTTTCGAATAAGTTCTCGATCAGATTATGAAAAGGTCACCTTGTTTTGGATTCGGGAGGAGACACAATGCTGTGTTTATTTCATGCTAATCTTGGTCTGAGTGTGACAAACGATCGGTGAGGTGGTTGAGCCTAATTAATCCTGTCACAAAAATACCTTTCATAAAGGACAAATACAGTTAAAAGTAATGAAAAAATAATTAACATGACAAAGTTTTTATGAATTTTAGGACTTTGACAGCCAGACGAGTCATTACATTAAAAAWTTTTTTCTAAAGCTATAATGTAATTAAACAACTAATCACCACAAGAATCTATTTGATTGTCTCACTGTGAATGTGACCAAGAATAAGGAATATATGTCTCTCTTTTATGATGCTTTACTTCCACTGCAGCTGTTCTCAGATATTGTTTCACCTTTTAGCAGCTCAGTCTGGTTGTTTATCAGGCGACGGCTTCAACTGTTGAACTTCTTTACCTTCTAACCCCCACAGATTGATTTCAGGGTGTTTTGGGTCATTTTGCATTTGGACTGAAACTCACCTTTCAGTCAGCTTTAGATCATATGACAGAATTAAAAAAATTTAAACTCCCCATATTTCTCTATATTTAGATTCCAAGGAGTCAGAT